TATTCTTTAAACATTTAAGTGATCTCAATTTTTAAAAATTATATATAAAGATTTGGATGAGTGATTGTAGCCAATGTTCAACAAACAAAGAGCAAGAATAAGCCCGGTTAAAATTGTGTTTTTCAACTGGTGTTGAAAGCTTTTAAACCTTTCTTATTATTTGAGCTGTGGCGTGAACTTTTAGAATTTGAGTTTTAAGTGCTTTAATTAAGCATTTTAGAGGGATTTAAATAGTTTTAATTTCATATAAGAAAATTTTTTAACTTATATATTTAAAATACATGTTAAAAACATTTTTTTATCATAAATATGTATAAAAAAAAGAAAAAGATTGACAATTAAAAAAAATAAAAGAGTAACCCTTCAAATACTCCGTAGTATTTGCTATGGAGTTTTAACCTTTTCAAAAAAAATTCCCTTTTTTTAAATTTAATTTAGTTTAGTTAATTTTTTAATTCAAAACTAATTGAAATTTTTTAAAACTCAAAATAAAAAAATAATCAAAGTACTAAGGAGTACTAAACTACCTCGATTAATCTCTGAGGCAACTTGAAACCATTTCTCTACTCTTTCTTCCATTTAAAAAAAAATTATTTTATTTTTACGTTTTATTTGTTAAATGAGACGGAGGAAGGATTGTGCTTGGTTGGATCAGGCCTTTTATGTCCCAATAAAATAGCCGAAAGGGCTTTGTTTATAGTAAGCCCAATAGAATGGCCTATAAATCTGTACCCTGCACCAGAACCGTCCGATTTTGGTCTCTTCTAAGTTCTATATCACAGCCGCCCGATTGGATGACTACTCAATCCATTTCCTCTCGGCATTAAAAATGCACTGGAAAGTATGAGAAGCGATCCAAACAAACCCAGATCCAGATTATATCTAGCGCACCATGGGATTGGGTTACGGTTTAACCGAGTCATTCCTTATTTTTTACAAAGAAAAAAAACAAAAAAATCACCTCTTCAGAATAATTTTTATTATTGGAGATATTACATACATAATTTTAACTTCACAACTTTATCTATAACTTGATTTAATATTAAATTAGTAAATTATTAAATTTTATATATAGAAAAATGAACCAATTATTTATGCCACATCGAGTTGTAAATAAATTTATATAATTAAGGTTTGTGCGTATAGCTTTTTCCTGCTTCATGGAGACTTAGAAATCTCCTAATATTGAATCTGAGATTTTGTTTTAATAAAATCTAAAATTTATTCACATAATTTAAATCAATCAATTCGAATCAAATTAATACCTCCATTTTATGAATATGTTAAACTCTATTTCATGTGATTGTGATTTTTTTTTTTTTAGTTTTTATAAATTTTAAAATTATTGAAAACCAAAATTAAAAATCAAAATAAAAATTTGTTTAAAACAAGTTTCAACACTAATAACATCAAAGAAAAAAGACAAATAACTAAAACAATAAACTTGTTTAATAATATTAAAAATATTTTTATTTCTACTTTGCTCTTTATTAATCACGATAATATTTGACAAATAAACATGAACTAAATGAGGTTTTTTTTTTTTA